AGGAGTCGCGAGCCTCGCAGAGGCAAGGCTAGAAGATGAGAAAGCAAGAGATAGAAAGAGATTTTTGTATCGAAGGCTAGATATTACATGTACGTCTACGGTGTAGCTAATGACTTGTCACTTGTCACAAATACTTCAAGCCATATTGCAAATATTATCGTGAATTTTGCACTATTCCTTTTCTAATGGTTTTAAAGCGCCGAACAAGTGATACAATTCGTTGGACGCATATATCGTTCGCGCTAATATTCGCGTTAATATACGATTGTACGTACTGCGTATTAACGAGTAGAGCAACGCAAATCGTATACATAACAAGAGCACAATTATATATGTACTATGCTAAGCGTTATTGTTATTACTGAAAAGAGAGAGAGACTCGTACTTTACATCAACTTATGCCCTACTAAAAAGCCGATATGATTATTTCATTTTTGATAAATTATTGAAACAATTAACACAAATTAACTTTGATATACACGTGCACGATAGAGGAACCCATTTGCAATGACAATGTTTCCAACTGCAGTAAATAACGAACAGCTGTTCGCTGTTGTGAATCATCAGGGCAACTTTGAAAATGGTTGATAATGAAATTCGCGTGTGACTGTTTAAATAAAAGACGAAATAATATTGTGACATCTGTGGGTCGGTCACGATCGTTTCTCACGGGAGAAAACATAAGAAACACCCATCAAGCTTTTGTAATAATCAATAACGTTCATGTGAAATTAAAGAGGCTGAAGCACTTAATAAATTTGCGATAAAATATGTATGACGTTCGTTCATACTAACCAGCGAAACATACGGTGCAACTGTACAAGAAAAACGTTTTATAACATTTTAAACACAGTCCTATTATATTAAATATACTATGTTACAAATTGCTTCTTAGCAATAATTTTGCACAATTTTACTCATATGTTTTACTCGAACTAACTGCTGATCTTTTATAACATAGTTGTAGTTTCAAAAGTTTCCAGAATTGTTTTTCTTCGCTCGTGCCACATTCAGTTGTGCGTTGTGCGGAAAATCGTACGTGAAAACTTGTTATCGTCGTTGATTCTCTGATTTAACGATTGATTAACCCTCGGATGCCAAAGCACACGACACCACAGCCGGTCATTTTTCTCCCATACACATACGTACGTATATACATAGTTTCTGGCCCCAGTTTTTTTCGTTGTTTTATTGATAGCAAAATTATATATTTGTATATTATTAAAGGAATTAATATTTAACATTATTTACATATACTTATATAAAATTAAATTATATAGTATTTGTAACGCAATTTTTTCAAGGAATTTCCTTACTAGATAAGAACAGGAAGACACAAATAACAGAGCGAATGTCGTTCATAAATGTTTTGCATATTCATAAAAATTACGAAACTTACAAAACTATAAATCAAGATATGCAACAACAATCAAGGACGCTATACAACTATCCAAACTATATCGAATAATGAAAATTATAAATACGTACAATTGTTTGATTTCGTTCGCAGTTCAAATCTGAAATGGCTCAATCACGAGGGTTCAATCGAATTTATTTACAAATTACAAATAATACATTTGAAAGTCACATATATGCGCAACTATCGGATATTACAAGCTGCAAGCAGTACATATGTATAATATGTACTTACGAACATTTGGATAAACTCGCTTAACGTTCACACAAGGCCTAAAGAAACAGATATCGATGTTATTGATATAGTATCTTCCTGTTGCTTCGAGCATTCGCACGATCTCATTCGCGTAAGACGTAAGACATACATAGATACTTCGTTTAAGCGTTTAATATCACAATGGCCACCATAAAACGGCACGCATGCAAAAAGATGTCGACATTGCCAACGCTATTAACCGAGGACCATTGCTTTTCCATTAATGAAGAAGCGTGTGTGATTTGTAATTGCATCGAAATCGGGCATACCGACATACAGACGTTCGATGTACTTAAGGATTCGATTTCAAGGAAAAAAGCTAGTCACTTTCTTGTACTTGAAATATATTAAGATTACGATCGAAAGGCTCATAACAATATCGGTTTACGATAAATAAATTGATGGAAATAAGTCATTTGTTTCCTTTTTTGTTTGTTGGCAAAGCTAAACATTAATAACATATTGCAACAATGAAGTCGAACAGTTCAAAAGTTGAGAGATTTATGACAAAACATATGTTCCTCATTTTCCAGTTTGTCTATTTCCAGGCAAGAAAAAATAATAGTCTTTAATTTTTCTTTAATACATCTCAATTTTTTGATGACAAAATATTCGTTATATTACACAATCTTTATAAATGTATTTATAAATACATACATCATGGAAACATCATATTTAATTAAATCGCGGAATTGCGCACCTCGTGGCAAGGACTTTTAACAACAAATTAATCTTCATTCGACATTGAGCATTTTTTACAATATCGCAATGTACACCATTATCGTTGTAAGTTTCGCTGCTATCTACTAGAATACGTTATTATCTAAAAGTTTGACAAGAGTCGTTTTTGTTGAGTCGCACGATTATTGCAAAAGGTGTCCCACTTTGAATCTTTTAAAAATTATTACCAATTATCATTTCTTGCATTTATGGGACAATCTAAGATGAAAAATGCATCAGATGCATGTAACATGCAACAATATATAAAAGTTAATATATTTAAAATGTATTATTTGTTATAATATCTATTAGGTGAAACAAATCTTTGTTTAGATTCCATTTGTTTGGTTGTATCCAGAAAATATGAATCTGCATAAATATATAAAATATTCACAAACTAATAATCACCTTATTCGTTTTAACGTAAAGTGTAAACATGGGAATTGTATTCGAAATACAATACCTTTCAACTATCTCCCTCAAAACTGTTTCTTTCAATCTCTGCTCTTTTACTGAAATTTCTTATCACATTTTCACGTGTCTCACCGCTGAATTGCCTTTTGATCTGAATCGTAAGAACAGTTGTATATTATTAATTATTAACGACAGAATCAAATGTTTTTTCTCGAATGATTTGTGACGAAAGCTAAAATACACTACAATTTGAGAGGTTAGTTTTATTGGAAACAAACAAATATAATTTAGTTAATTAATAGTCAATTAATAACTTTAAAAAGTACGATGTACATATTATTGAGCATGAAAGGGGGTAAAGTTTGTCTGATCAAGTATTGATTTTTCGCATAGATTCTGCCTTTTACAATGTTCCGTAAGAAAAGATCTACAAGCGTTAAGTTGCATGGCGTTCGATCGATGTCGTTACGTTGAGAAATCTAAATACGGGAAACTATATTCGCAATATTCGCAAGCCGTCGTCTCTCTTTCTACTTGCAAGATAACGTACCTCAAACGTTATTCCCATGTTTCGACTTCGCGTCTATAAAGTGATTGACAAAATGCAAAATGTAAAGTACAGCTTTACTATGAAAACCGTGTCATTTATTTTCGCGATTAATTAAAGAATAAATGCTCATTAGTTGAACATGCTTTTATTAACCGCATGTAAAGTTCACCTGTTTCCCAACTTTCGATTAATGCGACTTGATAATCACTATGAAAATACGTGGCGGATTCGATTCGTAGAGTTAACAATGAAATAATGTATAGGAAGTAGAGTACGAAAAATACATGTGTCGTGTCAGGTGTATGTATTGTAGCGCTTCGTTTGAACGCGTGCAAGCAAAAATGCATTTTAGTTGGCGATTTCAATAATAAAAATTTCTCTCCTTCTTTATCTGCATGTAAATAATTTTTCAGCAAAATACAAAATCGCTGATTTCTTTTAGTCCGAACATCCAAAGTTTGGACAAAGTCAATATTTCACTTACGATAAATACAATCGCTTATATGTCCATATTTTGTTAGGAAATATATATTCCGAAAGAAAACCTTCCTCTTCGACATCTTACGAAAATATCTTCCTTCCCAATTGGCTGAAATATTTATTTAAAGAAGGAATAAAAACAAAAAAGACAATTTTTACTTGTCACATAAAAATTCTTCTTTCTAAGATAAACTTTCTTTTATTGATGTCCACTTTAAAATAGTAATAGGAACTAAAATAATAAAAAATAGAAGAACTGCTTTCAAAAAATATTTTGTCCATTCACTAAAAATATAATCAGTGAGAACATTTATTACACGTTTCCTTTATCAGTACACACCTTATTATTAGCGATAAGAATATCTCATATGTTTCGTTTGAACAGTTTGATCGATAATATTGGTCTACGATATATATATATAGATAGACAGATAGATATATGTATGTATGCAAATGTACATATATACATTCATAATTTTTGAATTTATAGGAGCAACTGTGCAACTTAATATCTGATTCGATCATAAAATCGCGCATATATACCCTTTATCTACGATTAAGAATTTCTTCAATACCTTTTCCAAATATCGTAAATGTTTCAGTTGAAATTAGTTTCTACGATAAAGTTTAGCTTACGCGTCCAAATCAAATTTGTTTTACCTATTGTATCAGATAACGTTACTATGTAACGTTTTATAAAATGACCTCGTTACATATGATTAAAATGTTAGATACATAGGAAACTTTGTATGCGCTCTGCGCATATCTGACTGATACGTGAGGATATTTATTATTAGTGGTAACCGATTTATATGAATCAGTTGCTTAAAAATATACAGCAAGGCATATAACTTTCTAGACGAATGTTCTCTTTGCACATGTAAATACTCACGAGAAATGTGATAAGCATCGGTAGATAACCTACATCTACAGAAAGTGAAATATCTAGATCAATGGTAAATACATATGAAGCAACGATCATAATTCAGTTAACAGCGTCTTTTATGAATCACCAACGTGTTCGTACAATCTTGAACATCTCTTGGAGTAATGGCCTACTCATTGATGGGCTTTATACATTGCGAAAATGAATCATAAATTGCTTGGCGCGTTCTTTGAGTCAGCGATAGGTTAGCATGCGCACCTTATACTACACATAAATTGCATCTTGAAGTTCACTTGAGCTTGGAGTCCAAGATGGCCGCGATGACAGATATATCGAACTGTTAACCGAATATGGGATACGCCTAAATTTTCAGTTTACACCGACACATCTCTTAGACATTATAATACAATGAATATAATAAATACGTGCAGTGATATGAAAGGTGGAGGATGCACGAAGAACAAATGACTTTTACGGACGTGCAGTTTGTCTTAACTCATACGTATGCTACGTTCTGTGTTCAGTCTGCTTTTTCACAACGAGTAATTTGTTCATTTGCAACAAGAACTCGTTACAAGGAGAACGACTAGAGATTTCACACTAACTGCCCACGTAAATAAATTAACCTATCAAACTTTTATTCGAGAAAAAGTGACTTAATTCGAGAGTTCGTATTCTGTCATTTATATGTCATTCGTGTGCTCTGTTTATCTACATCTACATGTAAATTTATATGTATCTTTGGTGTTTTTAGTGTAAATTAGTTTGTATTTCTTGCAGATATAAGGTTGTGATATTTATGTGTTAAAATATTCAAGCTACTGTTAGAATAAAAAATATGGAGGCAATTGTAGAATATAACTATGAAGCACAAGAACCTGATGAATTAACTTTAAAGAAAGGAGACGTTATTACTGAAATTAAAGTGATGTTAGGTGGTTGGTGGGAAGGAACTTTAAGAGATAAGCGGGGCATGTTTCCTGATAATTTTGTCAAGGTAACTTTTCATTCTTTTAATATTAATATATTTTCTATATGGTGATTGTACAATATTTGAAAGATAAAATTTATATACATTTCCAATGTAGAAGAAATGCTGGTGTAAAATTTTTATACATTAATATAAATAATTATAATCAAATATAGGTATTGGAACCTTTATCAAGTGGAACGGTTGGAAGTACAGGAAGTGGTGGAAGCGAAGGAGCTGGTAGTGCTAAATCTGAAGATGTCTCCTTAAAAAACGGCGGATCTAAAAGACGATTTTGTAAAGTGCTTTTTAATTATGAACCATGTAATAAAGATGAACTAACTTTAGTACCCCAAGATTCTATAGAATTTTTGGGCGAAGTAGAAGAGGGATGGTGGAGAGGTAGACTTAAAGGCAGAGTTGGTGTTTTTCCATCAAATTTTGTTTCTCCTCCAGTTTATGAAGAATCTGATAAACACAAAGATCAAGAGAGCAGAAGGTTGTGTAAAGTACTTTTTCCTTATGAAGCTGCTAATATAGATGAATTGACATTAAACGAAGGAGATATAATAACTCTTCTATCTACAAATGCTTCTGATAAGGTATTGATTACTTAAATCGAGTATTATCCGTTTCTTATGAATAAGTTTTGAAAACTATAATTTGAGAGTATTCATGTAATAAGTATGAAAAATAACTTCTAGGGATGGTGGATAGGAGAATTAAATGGCCAAGTAGGCTTATTTCCTGATAATTTTGTTGAAGTAATAAATGTTCCATCCGATCATCAAGATCATGAACAAAAACTTAAGGCATCTATGAAGTCCATTACAAAACATTCTCATCAAATAAAAAAGAATGGAAAAGTGCACACTAGAAAAAGTTTGGATGTAAAAGATCTACATGCAGGTATCTAATTTTTCATTCTAATTAGTTAACAAAAATCATATAAAATTTTAAACTATAAATAAAATCGTTTATTTTGCTATAAATTGTTGAAATTGTTATATTTTTACTACAGATGTAACTAAGAAAACCATATCAACAGGAGCATCTACGACATCAACTTCTCCAGGAATTGGAGGAAGTGGTGGAGAAAGGAAAAATATAAGTGGACATTCAATTACCTCGAATTTAAAACGTCTTGTAGCTGATGTTGGAACTAATAATGGTAATGGAAATACAAATATAGCTCTGGGTGAAGAATTAGATGGCGTAGAACGAGGAGAAGGTGCACCGCTTTCGCATTTAACAGCTTCTCGAGCTAAAGCACCCCATCGACGTCCACCTTCTTCACAACGTTTGAGACGCCACGTTACTGGACCACCAATTACCACAACCACTACGACACCTGTTAGTGTTCTTGGCTCTATTTTAATATTTTAATTTTTTAATTTTTAATTTAATATTTTAATTTTTAGTATATGTGTCGGTAATATCTAAAATGTTAGTACTTCTTAAAATATGTAATTTTCTATTCACAATAGGAAGATAACTTAGCAAACGGTAATGCAGACATTATATTAGAACAATTACGGGAAGAAGAACCTGAAGGATTGGCTGCAAAAGCAAGAAGAAAAGCACCTTGGGTAATTCCATTTATATATTTTATTTATGTACATATGTATCTTTCATATTCTATATACAATATCTATATACAAATTTTGTAATAATAAATATAATAATTTTCCATGATTATACTCGTATGAACACGTAATGTATTTTATGCTGACTATCGTTTCTAGGTAGAGGAATTAAAATTGAATCAATTGGAAAGGAGAAAGATTGTGTCGGTGGATCGTATTGATAAATCCGAAGAAAAAAAAGAACGCCCCAGTTCACGGTAAAATTGCATTTTTCAATAAATGCTTATGATGGTACGAGTATTAAGTTTTTAATTTGTATATAATTTTCTAATTTTAATGTAGAGTATTAACAACGACAAATGTTGCTGATTGTATTAATAAATTAGAAGGGGAAAGTGAAGAAAGTAGACTGAAGGATAAAAGTCAAAGCCAGAAATGTGACACATCTTCACATATTGAACAAATTTCATCTACTCCTGGAACTCCTCCTGCTTATGTCCCATTTGCACTTTACAATCAACTACTAGAAAGGGTGAGTATAGTAAGAGAGTTAGCTTAAAGTTATTAAATATTTTTCATGTATGTTTAATTCGTAATAATTTGTAATATTTTGTTCCACAAATATATATAATGTTTATAATTACTAATTAAATTGAAAATTACATGAAACAGGTTGTTGCTTTAGAAGAAAAGCAAGCAATGTTACAACAAACAATGGGACAAATTTTGGAACAATTTGTACCTCCTGTCTCTTCAATCAACAGCCCTGATTAATCAACACAAATTCTACAGTATGTCTTTTCATATAAAATGCTGCTAAAATCTCAATTTCATTTTCCATTATAAATATCGTCGAACAGTAGTGTATACTTACTGTATAATTTTTAGAATTATTCATTCTAGTAGCGGCATTTTTAATTTGTTTCGCTAATGTGGTAACAGTATTTATTTAATTTGACTAAGTAAATATTCCATATATCATTCCTTCCTTGAAGAAGCATTTTTTCAATTTACGTCAGTTTATCTTATTTCACTATAAGTATTTTATTTGTTACTTTCATATTACTTTTAATGACATCTCAAAGTTTCTAAAACATATGTAATATAAACTTTCCAAATCTTTCTATATCTATTAAAGGATTATTAGCTTCATTACTTAATTAAAGTAAAAATACAGCATATTTAGTAATGGATACCTGATATAGAGGATGAATCAATAAGAATTACCACCAGAAATAACTTGTTATCTATTGACTTTATTAAAAAAAATGGTTTAAACGAAATTTTTGTATTCGAGAAAATTTCGGCCAGACGAATATATTTCGATTTCTGATTTTCAATTTTAGAATGTTTTAAATGACACTGCATTTTTTATTAATATCCTGTTGTAATCTGTTTGAGAATTTGAATAATTGACCATCGATACGTTTCATAAATTTTCATTTCATTTGAGAAACTCAAAGTCACTTTAATATTTCAAAACATCAAAATACATTCATCTGGCCAGTCTTCTCAAATACACCAAATTTTATTTCAAACATTTTTCGATAAAGTTAATAGATAACGAGTCAGGTGGTAATACTTATTTATTCACCCTGTATACGTATATAGAGATTTATTTTAAAACATTTAAAACATTTTAAAATTAATATGTATATCTTCTAATATATTTCCTTAAACTGTATTTCAAAACTATAGGAATATATTTGTACTTAAATTACTAAATCAGTAAAGACTATGCATTTTATATTTTCGTTGAAAAGCTGCCTCGCATTTATAACGTAATACTAATTACTTTTAAGTCCATTAAATAATTCAAGTGCCAATATATTTAATTTTCCCTTGCATAATTTTGTAACTCTACCATAAAAACGTTAATACTATTTAGTTTCCAGAAAAAATGCATTAACAAAGTATTAAATATACCTATTTAAAATGAAATAAGTTTAAGATAACTTAAAATGGTGCTACATGATGAAATACTTGTGATACTTTATATCACGTATTATAATATGACTAAATGAGGCAGCAAACTATGAATAATAATTTTTATCCTATATGAAATAGAGTGACAAGATACATTAAAGCTCACTTAAAAAACAAATTATATTAATAACTTTGTTCCATATAATCACAAAACTGTTGAATATTTCAAATCTTTTTATTTTTTTAAATGAAGGAAATTTTAAGTATAGAATGAGATGGTTAAGGATACGTGTATGAAATAAATACAAGCAAAACAATATTTAATTTTTTACATCAGTATTATCTAAAAAGAAAAAATAGCAGGTTTATAATATTTCCTCCGATTATAATCACATTATTTCAGATTATACGTTAGCTATGTGCAAATATGTAAATACCCAGTATCGTAAATGAGTTGAAGAAAACAGTAAATTCCTATAGTAATTTGCAAATGAACTACTAAATATACAAAAATTCTAGTCTAAAACAAACAGATTGCAGTGATTAAAGGATTCAAGTGCCAGGGCCAATGAAACTAACACTGTCACTATAAATGTCGTTGTTAATAAGTATATCTTTCAAAAAGTAATGATTTCACTGTGCTTCTCATCAGATTTATAGTAATTTATGTCTGTTTCTTTTTCACAAAATTGTCCTAAAATTTAATAGATATAAATTTTTTCTAAATATTTTAATTTAATGAAAACTTAATAAACATTATGTTTTAATTACAATATCTTTATAATCCTTTTATTTGTAATATCTTCATTATATCTAGAACGTTAGTACTTTTATTGCCTGAAGATACTATTTTTGTAGTTTTCTTTTATATAGTTTACAGCTGATCTACAAATTATATCATTACATTTTGAATGATATCCAATGTAATATATAAATTAGAGTATTAGTATTGTACAAAATTTTTACACATTTCAGCTGAATGTAGCTTATTTAAATGGGATGTAATTATAAATAAGTGGGATGAAATAGTTATAAAATATAGAATACTTCTTTTGCATATGAGAAGAAAGACACTAGAAGATGTTAAATTTTGGCAGCTTTAGATTTATACGTACTTTTTTTTGTTTGTTTATTTTTATATGAAATTTGTTTATTATCATGAACAATATTATTATTATTAATATTAATATTATTATTATTATTATTATTATTATTATTATTATTATTATTATTATAGTTAATTGTCGTTAATTGTATACAGAATGTATATCTGTATTTGTTTACAGAATTTATATCAAGAACAATTTCATCTAGTAGAAGAATTTGTATAATTATGCCATAAGTAAAAAGTTTTCTCTGAAAATGTTTGCATGTAAATAAGAAATTGCAAAATATTTACATGGATTATTACATGAACATTATAATTATCAGTGTGTTACAATTCATTGAAGAATTTTAGATTATGCTTATAATGCAATAGACCCTATCTGAAAATTTCTTTCATGTAGCGTCTATCTCATAACTTCAATACAAAAGCACAAACTTGTTGCATAATAGGATTCAAAACATTGTTTTCATGTACGTATTTCTTAATAAATTGAGCTAACGTCTTACATTGATCATATTTAAATAAAATTGTTGTCATATGTTTCTCTGCAATATCTATTACTGTACATAAGGAGATAATGTATATTTTTATGTATTATATGGATATTGTGTTAAATATGTTTGATTTTTCACCCATTAGTCGAACAAGTGAAGTAAATGAATACAATGCAAAATAAATAACATTGAATTGGTAGTTTGATCTGGAAATTTAATTTCAACAGTTATACAAGCTACGAGTAATTTTCAAACTAGTATTTTTATTGTATATTCGCTAATTTTTATCTTGTTTTATATCTCTGTAAAAATATTTTTAAAAGGATATGGAAGAGTTATGTTATTTGTTATAATTTTACACAATCGATTTGATCTAAAAACAGCTTAGCATACTGACCACATTTCAGAAATGTCCAGTAATTGATATGACTCCATACAAAAAATATCATTAATAAATCCTTTTATACTTTTATATATTATCACAACTGAAAGATTAATGTAAGATTTTTATGTAAAAAAACGTTTAAATTTTACAAAATGACAAGACTTCTATTCGCAAATCTAAATTTCATACATCATTGCAAATTAACGATATGTGACAATAATAGTCCTAAGCGAAAGCAAGAAAAATTTCCAAGTTCGTGCATAATATTAATAATATTTTACTATTATCACACAATAATTATTTTCAAGTCCATGATAAAATGAAGATTTGAATTATAGCTAAGTCAAATATATGTTCAAGTTACGAAATAATTACTTAAATACAATAACTTTGATAAAGAAAAACGTTGTCTTCCTTTAGTAACGAATATTATAGACTATATATAGACTATTTACTACATTAATCGTCAAAACAACGATCTTTCAAATGGACTAACACCTGTATGGTATTAACATGCATTTTTTTATAAATAAACCTGTAGATAGAAACTTGCTTACATATAAAATATTTTTAAATATATGATGCATCACACGCATTAAAAATGAGTATTTCCATTATTAACATACATATGTCGAAATGTTTTAGTCATTTATAGAATGCAAGTTAATTGTTTCAAATTAATTATGCATATATCATGTATCATGGAAGATAAATTTTGTTGGTATGACAAAGAAATCATGCTCTCCTTCTTATTTTATTATTGTTATTATTATTATTATTATTATTATTATTATTATTATTATTGTTATTGTTATTATTGTTATTATTAATATTATTATTATTAATATTATTATTATTAGTAGTATTATTATTATTATTATTGTCTACAATGTTTACTTTCTGTTTGAAGAATGTAAATGATAGCTAGTAATTTGTGAAGCAAAAGATTAGAATGCATGTTGTATTTTGTTTCATTTCTTAAATTTGGATTGTGTAATAATTTTGATACGAGTATGGAAATGAGTAAGTAAAAATTATTTTATCTTGGCCGCTTAGTGTACATGCATATGAAATAATATATATAAAATTATATATAAAATTGCAGATTGAATAATATATATTTTCTTCTATTATAAATACAATACCGATTAAATATTTATTGACGGAGAATTTCAACATACATATATTAAGATAATTTGTGTAGATATATATTATTTGAGTAACATGTTGGAATCCAATTTTTTTACTTTATTATTAATGCTTGTATTAAAGATTATGAAGCAATGAAACTTTGACATAATGAAATTGTTATTATTACGATATATATATGCACATATATATGTATTATTTCCGAACCCTATTATAACCACAAATAAAGTATCGATACATCTTAATGGTTGGTTTTAAGTCTTAAGTAATCAGCTTAGAAAGCATGTGATAGATAATAAGCAAATAATTGAAAGAAGCACAATTTTTAAAGGTATAATCCTAGAATTGTATACGTGTATATAATCAACAAAGAGTGAGAATTATGTTTTTTCTTTCGTATCGATCATTTTCAGAGCAATTCAAATGTAAATAATTTGTTAGGAAATACTTTCTTCTGCTAGTAATGAGTATCATACTTGTAACCACGTATTAAACTTATGTATATAATTAGTATTTGTGTTTTTAATGCATTAACAATAACTCATTGCTTTCTCTTTTGTACATTTTATACTCACAGTTATATTAATATCGGAATGTTACAAGTTCTAACTAACTTAATAATTAACATTTTATTTTCTGATCAAAAAATATTTATTTAGAATATTCTTTAATAAGTAGTACATTCGAATGTGTGTATTAAAAGCATTTAAAGCATAATATATTATTTTATTTTAGCTTTTCACACATATATGTGTAGTTGAAACTGCTGCCTATTAATATGTTTGCTTGTAGATTTCAAAGTTTCTAGCTATGCAAATATGAATAGATCGGTGAAATTTCACAGATAAAAGATAACACACTACCGCAAGGAACAACTTTCCAAAAAGGTCCAAGTTGTAATTGAGGTGGTTGTACCAGAGTGACACATCCTTTTGAATGCGATGGTTGTCCCCTTCCCCATGCTCGATAATTAAAACATAAAAGTGGTTCGTCTAAAAATTGTATAATATTTTTATTAATTATACCGTATATAACTTTTCCGGAATTTATAAAGAAGCGAGATATCAAAGACTAGAATCCTTTTTAAACTAATGTTTTCCTAACCGTAAGCATCATTTTCTAATTCTAAACAATAATTCAAAAAACTATGAATTTATGTAAACGTTATGTGGCAAAATTTTACCGTATACAAATTTAAAATTAAATACCAAATTCGTTCATCCAAAATTTTCCATTTCTACGGTTACTGAGTCCGACAAAAGTAGGCGTGTTTGGCGAAATGTATTTTGCAAGCCCGTTAGTACGTTCCTCGCTGATTATGTGAGCCAGCGATGCATTTATTTTTTGGCAAGCTATTCGTGCTTGGCTGTAATTCAAGTTATCGCTCGAAAATACAAATATCCCTGTCCTAGGAACGCAGACCAGTGTGAAGCTAGAACCTACAATAAAAATAATTTGTATAAATTCCTGTTACTTGCGACATGTCGATACTTTTATTCTTTTTTTTTTTTTTTACCAGTTGGTATGGAGCTGGGATACGTGCTATAATATTTATAATTCTTGTCCTTCACAAGCGTAGTAAAATTGTAAATCTCAGGACATTGAAGCGCTTGGCATATTTTCCTCGTTGTTTTACTTTTATTCTGAACGCCAATATTCAATTCTATGTGAACAGAAACAAAACTCTGGCACGCAGTTTTATATTATTACCGACAGACTGCTGATATTCATGCAAATTCACATTTTTATAAACGCAGCTAAAGGAAAATCTAGACAGGAATTTGTTGAATATTATTTGAATATTTCATATATTTATACGTATGACGTAACCGAGCAAAGACCGGTATTAATATTTAGTATGGATGAAATTTTCCAAAGAAATGCTGCATAAATCTGTCTAAAACTTGATTCTTCGTACGTGTGACACATCTTTTTATGACAGGTACGTGTATAACTTCCAAACTGAAATACATGCCGATTCAGTATCGTTAAGCATACATGCATACGATAAAAATTAAAGACAGATAACAAACTGTTTTTTGGCGAAACATAAGATACAGATTATAGTATAATTAATACCAGAATCGATTGTAGAATCGTTTTGCACCTGTTGCAAAAGCAAAAGAAAAAAACAAGAAAATAATCTAGAAGCTATATAAGAATTGATATAGGAATTAGAATGAGAACGAAAATTTCGATTCATTGTAACAATTATTCGGATAATAAAAGTTCTACGTGAGCATTTGAAGAAGCAGAATCGAAATCGTAATTGTTTTCAACCCATGATAGAGTTATATTTTACGAAAGATTTCGTTTAATAAAGAATCGTAATTTTTCAGGAATTTACACAAGACCCTACTTAGAATGTACTATTCCATGTCACAATACTTTTATTTGTCACTGTAAATGCATAAACACACACAGTCGTCTAACTATTGAGCACCGATTGAACACCGTGGAACATTACGATACGTTTCCAATCAGCGTCTTTCGTCTTACCATAGTCATCGTCTAAACCATAATTAAATGCCAAAGCCTTCTTCACCGAAGCAAACTTCCTGCACTCGTTCACATTTTGCACCGTTTTCCTTGAGAGTATTAACTGATTCGAACGGGCGTTAGATTTCATTAATTTGTAGTATGGTAACTGTCGTGAATTAATTTCACAGTAATTATCGCATGTAATTAAGTGTAATCCTAAACACGCTATCAAGTATGTCACAATTACAATTAACTTCTCCATTTTTTAATTCACTGAAGAATCTTATCCGATTGAATGTTTACTTGAAAATGCATCATTTTTTTGTACAACTGGGATACTCTTGGATAATCGGGAGACACAGACCGACGGACAAAGCAATTAACCTGTACGTCGACGCGATATGTACACAATAGAAACGGAATTTCGATTTGCGCAGTCAACAGATTTCGAAGTTTTACTAGATTTTATGAAGATGATGAATTCGATTGAAATGACGTCGACGTTCAACTAGAGGAAGGAAATGATTTTTGGAGAATGGGCTTTCCATGATTGTGAAATAGCGTAATTAATTATTATTATTATTATTATTCGAAACAATCGATAAAATTACGAGCGATGTTATAACAATCAAACGATGAGGTATTTTCTACGAAATATCGTGAATTATTTCGTTAATAGTTCTATTTTAACTCGTTATAGAATATATCGCCAACAAGAACAGGTACTGTTTGGTATCTAATACACGTATTCGACCGTTACTGTACGCCAAACTATCAAAACGTTGAATAAATCGTTCATAGACTTGTACAAATCAAATATTTGTATAAATACAAATAGATAAGAAACGTAAAATATATTTTATATTTTGATCGTAGACTTCCAAAGAATTATGTCGAATGATTTTGACGGTTTTATAGAAGGATCTCTATGAGAGACTTCAGTGTCTATTTCAATTTCAACAAAGCATCTAACGCTTTGGAAACTTCGGCGAATATGTCATCCACACTGCCTTCAGCATTGATCTACATGAAACATTGAAGAAGGTTCCATTATTGCGTCTATTCGTTATCAGGATTTGTTTATATTGAGTTGTTGGAAAAATTCGTAGCATTTTTAACAGTCGATCTATTCTATTCTCTAAATTTAGTCTATTCTGCGTGTCATATATACTCGATGAGATTTC